TTTTAAAAAATTATAGTAGAAATTTAAAATTCAGTAAGTAGAATGGGCTAAGGGGGACAAAATAGGAAACAGCATAATTGAAAGCTGAATTTGGAAGTCATACACCAAGCAAATAGGAATTTAAGAAAAAAAACATTAACATGAGGAGAGAGAAAGAGAGAGAATTATCTAAAGAAATAAACACAAAGACTTTCTTTCATAATGAAGGCAACTTCATACCAGCATTGTGAATGAAAAAGGATCCTTAACAAATCTATCATCATGAGAATTCAGAACTCTGGGACATTCAGATTCTAAAAGCATTTACAAAAGAGAAAGAACAGCACCAGAATCACCATTGTTATGTTGAAAGCCAAAAGATAATGGAGCAATGTCCTACCAACTGAGTTGAAATTAATTCCAACCTAGGTTATTAATCTCAGACAAGCTATCAATCAAAGGGAATAGAAAAGCTGGCACATACTTTTTGTGCTCTCTCTCTCTTTCTCTCTCTCTCTTTCCTCTTTTTTCTGTGTGTGTGTGTGTGTGTGTGTGTGTGTGTGTGTGTGTGTGCTCTAGGGATTGAATCCAGGACCTTTACACAGAGCTACATCTGCAGCCTTTTTTAAAATTTTTAGACAAGCTATCTCTAAATTTCCCAGCCTGCGCACAAACTTTTGATGCTCTTACCTCAGTTTCCCAGAGTGCTAGAATGACAATTAATGTGCTACAAGGCCTGGTACATTAGAATTTGTATCTTTTCTCAGGTAGGTAATGATTGACGTGTTTCATTAAACAAGCAAAATAGGGCAAAAGGGAGAAAGCTGAGAATCCAGGAAACAGGATTTCTAACACAGGAAGAGATGAAAGAATTTTCCAGAAACAAAGTTGTATACTAAACTCAGAGAGAGAAAGAAGAGAGGATGATGAGAGTCAGCCACATAGAGTATGAGGGCGTTTCCGAAAGGATGCCACAACAACAAAAAAACTACGAATTTAAAAATTACCCGTGAGCATCACCACATTGAGAATAGTTTTTTTTGAAAGTTTGGGAAGGAGGTGGTATCAGAAACTAAGTCATGGGGTAGATATATAGTCGCATTGGGGTAGATATATAGCCGCATTGTCTTAATGAATAGAATGATTTGTTCTAATGGTGTTTGTAAATAGGATCACAAGTCCGCATCTTGTACAGCAATTAACCACTAAGAAGAATATATGCAGTGTATTATTTGTTGAAACTGTACTTCCGATTTGATTTGAAACTGTCTCATTGCTATCTGTTTATCAATAAAACTGTAGAAAAAAATAAAATAAATAAAATAAATAAAAAATCTGTTTCATGCCAGAAAAAAAAGAAAAAGAAACTAAGTCATGATACAGCACTTATTAAGATATGATTTAATCTTTTCCCAGAAGTTAAATAAAAAATAAAATGTAATCATAGTGTGCAGAATGGGTCAGCTGTCAATGATCAGATCAATGTGAGTACTGTAGTTGATCTACCAAAAGTTGTGACAGAATTTCTCTTTACCTTGGGAGAATGGGGAAGGGGAAGCTCACGACGAGGGTGGGTGAAGGAAGAGGGGGGATAAAAGGGAACTAAATGCTCATCATCCATAAAAGTAAATACACTGCAATAGACAACAGACAATGCAAACTCGAGCTTAAGAAGTATAAATGTATTTTTCTGAGGAAGCTTCTAAAATAGGCAAGTGGTTACTTCTGAGAACAGTAATTAATGGCAGGGTGAAATGAAGCAGGAGGCGCTACTGTTTTTTAAGTTTTACTCCTACTAAAATTTTAAAGTACATGTTGACATTCCCTTGATAAAATAAAAACAATATGAATGTATAAATAATTCAAAACAAAAATCTCCCAAGTAAAACTAAAATATCCTGGAAATCCTAATATATATAGTATCTGATGTACGTAATCACAACTCCTTGTGAATACCACAGATTACCCACTTTGCATGCAATTCACCCAACCAACTTCCTCCACTTCCTTCCTCTTCCTTCGTATAGAACTCTAACCACTTGACCCCAACTGATCCCACCATCAAAGAACAAACCTTAAATACTGATCTTGGCACTATCTGGGGACTGAAACAAAAATTAAACTTGGGTCTCTGCCTTCATGTCACAGGAGATCTTTGTGAGACTCCGTCACATATGAGCAACAGATAATATAAATTAAATCCTAAACTGTGTGGTGCAAACTATATGAAGTTTAGGGCCAGGACAGATTGGAGGGAATGTAGCTGGAGCTTTGAAAAACAGAGGAAAGTGGTGAGAAGATCCTGGAGGCAAAGGGTGGGCCACTCCCTGCAGCGCTTCGTAGGTTCTGTGTAGGTGTGGGGCTCTGTGTAATGAAAAGCCATCCAAAGAATCCCAGTCCAGGAACAACACAATTTTACAAAGATCAGTCTGACCGCTAGATGGAGAAAGGATTGAAGTGTGACGAAAATCAGCAGAGCATAGCTAAGAGTGGTTTAGGCTAGGGATTGTGGTGGATCAGGATGATGATTATGGAGACATGGATTATTAAAAATATCTCATAGAAGTAGAAGCTATAAGGTTTGTTGATGTCTTCCTACATAAAGGACAGGAAAAAGGATTAGGAATAAGGAGCTAGAGATGACTTTGAGAATTCTGATTTGAACAATTGCATGTATGGTGGTTTCACATTTCCAGTTTAGGGAAGACTGGAAAACTAAGTTTTAGAGGAAAAAGGTTAAATGTGAAGTTTGAACAAGCCAAGATGGAGATACTTGAGATATTCCACTGAATGCAACCATAATCAGATGATTCGTGATCTTTCTTGTAATCCATCTTCTAGGACAGCGATGGTGTACCTTTCAGAGCGCCCAAACTGCAACCCAAAACTCATTTATCACAATGAGCCAATAATGCAATGAAGCTGGAGCGCTTAGCTGTGGGGTATTGCTGGGGTGACTTGGCTCCTGGAGTTTCTGAATCAATAAGTCTTGATGAGAACCAGGAATCTGCCTTATTAAAGGTAGCCCTAAATATTCTGATATATGTATAGAATGTAGTTTCAGGTTGAAATGAACTTAAGTATAATTCATACGTGAGGAAGTAGAAGTACCTAGAGCGGCAAACACTTTCTTAAAGTTGGACAAAAATAGAGAAGCTGATAGGTAAGGGGGTGCTAAACATTTATCTAATATATTAATAATTTTTTAAAGGTAGGTGACATTAGAGCAGTGGTTCATAACCTCAGCTGCACATCCTATTCCTCAATGATCTTTTAAAAAATACTGATGCACAGGGCCATCCCAGTGAGTAAATCTGGATCTCTAGGAGTGGGCCCTATTATCAACATTACTTTTGTTTGTTTGTTTGTTTGTTTGTTTGTTTGTTTTGCGGAACCGGGGATTGAACTCAGGTCCTTAAAAGGCTTACACTTCTGAGCTATCTCCCCGGCCCCTTTGTTGTTAATCAGCATTGCTTTTACCTCCCCAGTGCCTGGCATACAGTATGCTCTCAATTCATGTTTGTCGTTGTTAGAAAGTACTGCTGTCCAGTAGCAGATGATACAGATCTCAGGAAACCACTGAATGTGGTGAACTGTAAAGTTCATGTAATCTTCATGTGAAAAAAAGGTTACATTTCTATTATTTTACTTTCAACTAGCAAAACTGAAGCCCAAGAAGGGAATTAAATAACCAAGATCCTCAGCCTTGATAGCTGCCTGTTTGAAACAGAAACCAAATGCTCAGTCCGGATCAGAGTTTTCCGGGACTTCCACAATCTCATTTTGACCACCTCAAGCTCCAGCCTCCTAATAATATCTGCCACTCGGTACCCAGATTCCTCAATCACAAACCCACGACCTTAGATCCAACTCGTTGCCAGCCTCTGACCCAGATTTATCGTTCCTCCATCGCAGTCTCTCGCTCAGCCCTGGTTTTCACCAGTGGGGCTCAGGGCTTCTCCCTGCGCTTGCGCCATTAGGGGTTTTGCGACTCCGTTGCCATGGAGCCACGCCGCAGGCGGCAACAAGGGACAGGAGTTCCTCATTCCCGGTTTTGGCCAGGGCGCTCGCTTTTCTTACCGTTTCCCGAGCCTGATGCGCGAATTTGAGGGTCTGGTAAGAAAGCTCCATCAGACAGAGTGTTAGGGTCGAAGAAAGGGAGAAAAAAAGTCCGTTACTACTAGGCTGACCAGTGCATCCAAGGAAAGAGGCTCCGGGACACCTGACGCTTAACCAGCCCACCCGTTTCTGGATTGGCTCAACCAATCACAGGCCAGAGTTGGACTCTTTATGCGGACCATCGATGTTAAACTGAGAACTTTTGCAGCCAAGTGCTTCTGTGCTCCTAGCCAATCAAGAGACCCAGAGGGAATGATGGGTAGAGCACTAAGGTAGGGTTTGCAATTGTTATGGTTCTCTTAATTGGCTCTCAAAAATGGGAAATCAGTTTAGTTATGTACTGTGGTATTTGTCTTCGCTTTTGGCAGTTGCCAGGGCCTTTGTGAGTCAGTGACTATATTTTGAGACACCCCCCCCCAAGGCAAAGTTTGAAAATTCCCTCATGTTCTTCTTTTGAAATTGTCTATACATGGTCCAGATAAGGAAAATCTGTTAGGAACACCTTAGTTATGAGTGCTTCAGAGCCCTACTGGACCACAAATTGGACACTGAACGTCCCTACTCCTCCAACTCCTTTCTCATCAACCAAGGTTCATCAGAAGTGACAAACATGGGCTCTCCCTTTTTCTGTACTCCATTTTTTTCTTGTATTTCTCCAATTTCTTCATATTTTCTCCATGAAGTCTAGGCCTCCAATATCTCTGTTCTCTTTCTGCCTCTCTGTCTCCTTTGTCTCTGTCTCTGTCTCCCTCTCTCTCTCTCTCTGAACCATCCCCTGTTCAAAACCATCCCCTCCTCATTATCTTTGGCCTTCCTCATCCATTCTGTCCCCTCAGTAGACAAAATAAGTATCTTCAATTAAGTATATTAAGTAAGTATCTTCAAATAAGAATATTCACGTAGTGCTCGCTTTGGCAGCACGTATACTAAAATTGGAATGATACCGAGAACAATAGCATGGCCTCTGCACAAGGATGACACGCAAATTCGTGCAGTGTTCCATATTAAAAAAAAAAAAAAAGAATATTCAAGTATCTTCAATTCAAAAGAAAAGAAAACAATGGAAAAGAAAGGAAAAGGTTTTCATTTATAATTGATTGAATCACCTCTCTCCCATCCACTGTACCTGTTCTGGGTTTTTGGGGGGTTTTCTGTTTTTGTTTTTGTTTTTTTGGTGAAACAGGGGATTGAACTCAGACCAAGTGCTTATTCTACTGAGGTATCTCCCAGGCCCCTACTGTACCTTTTCTGAAAAACAGTCGTCTGCATCTTCCATCTACTTCTCAGCACATCTTACCCCTACTCCTTTGAAGCAGTTCTTGCAAGTTAAACACAACTACCTAATTGAGAAATTTGACTGTAGATTACTTTACACTTTATCTTTTTCCTACTTGATACTGTTTGAAATTGCTGAACACTTTCTTATAAGTAATAATTATAATTCATTAAACATCTATAATTCTGTGTAATTCACAAGTGTTCCTCATTGTATCGTGCTTCATGTTATTGTACTTTGCAGACATTGTGTGGTTTTGCAGACTGAAGATTCTTGGCAACCCTGCAGTGGACAACTTTATCAACACCACTTTTGCAACAGTGATCTATGTCACATTTTAGAAATGCTTACAATTCAGACTTTCTCATTCTTATTGTATCAGTTATGATGATATGTGATCAGTGATGTTACTGTTGAAATTGTTTTGGAACACTATGAATTGCACCCATGTGATAGCATACTTACTTGATAAAGTGTGTCTTCTGACTGCTCCACTGATTGGCCCCTCCTGTTGCTGTCCTTTTCTGTCTTTCCTCTTCTCCAAAACAAAGCAATATTTAAGGAAAGCCAATTAATAATCTACAATGGTCTCTAAGTGTTCAAATGAAAGGAAGAGCCATAAATCTCTCACTGTAAATCCAAAGCTAGAAATGATTAAGTTTAGTGAGAAAGGCATGGCAAAAGCTGAGACAGACCAAAAGCTAGACCTTAAACCAAAACAGCCAAGTTGGAAATGCAAAAGAAAAGTTCTTGAAGGAAATTTAAAATGTTATTCCTGTGCATGCACATATGATAACCTACCAAACAGCCTTAATGCCGATACAGAGAAAGCTTTGGTGCTCTGGCTAGACTAAATCAGGTACAACATTCCTTTCAGCCTAATCCTAATCCAGAATAAGACTCCATCTCTCTTCAATTCTATGAAGTCCCAGGAAGGTGAGAAAGCTTCAGAAGAAATGTTTGAAGCTACCCCATACTGGCCCATGATATTTGAGGAAAGAAGCAGATTGCTTGCGCATGTAGAGGCAGCAAGTATTGATGCAGAAGCAGCAGCAAATTAACTAGATGATTCAGATAGCATAACTGATAAAGGTATCTGCACTAAACATTAGATTTTCAGTATAGGCCAAACAGCCGTCTTATTGGAAGAAGACGCCATGTAGAACTTTGATAAATGAGAGAGTTAGAGTCAATGCCTGGCACCTAAGCTTCAGAGAAAGGCTGACTCTCTTATTCAGCTTAGACACTAATTCAACAGATGATTTTATTTTTATTTTGTTTTGTTTTTTGTGGTACCAGGGATTGAACTCAGGACCCTGCGCTTGCTAGACAGGCGCTTCTTCTACTGAGCTATCTCCCTGGCCCTCAACAGGTGATTTTTAAAATTTATTTATTTATTTATTTATTTTTGCGGTACCAGGGATTGAACTCAGAACCTTGCACTTGATAAGACAAGTGCTTATTCTACTGAGCTATCTCCCCAGCCCTTCAACATGTGATTTTAAACCAGTGTTCACTTGCTTTTCCAAAAATACAAGATTCTTAACAAGTATAACAAATCTTTTCTATCTGTGTTTTTAATTGAGCCTAGATAACAATGTAACTTTTTGCAACATGGTTTGCTGAATACATTCCATTCACTGTTGAGATCTAATGCTCAGAAAAAATTATCCCTTTCAAAATACTACTTCCACGGACAATATATCTGCTCATCTAAAAGATCTGATGGTGATAGATGTTAAAATTACTGCTTCATGCCTGCTAATAAAACATCCACTTTGCAGTGCATGGATCAAGAAATACGTTTGATTTTCAAGTCTTTCTTAAGAAATACATTTCTTGAGCCGGGCGTGGTGGAGCATGCCTGTAATTCCAGCACTCAGAAGGCTGAGGCAGGAGGATTATTGCAAGTCTGAGACCAACGTGGGCTACAAAGTCACCTCAAGGCCAGCCTGAACTGCATAGTGAGACCGTGTCTCAAAAAGACAAAGAAAAGAAAGAAAGAAAAGGAAATATATTTCCTGAGGCTACACAGATAACAATTCCTTTAATAGAGCTTGGCAAAGTAAATTGAAAACTTCTGGAAAGGATTCACTATTTTAAATGCTATGAGAACATTCATGACTCATGGGGAAAGGTCAGAATATCAGCATTAACAGACACCTGAAGGAAGTTGATGCCAACTCTCAGGAATGAATTTAGGGGCTCAGAGCTTCAGTAGGAATGAACTACATCTGGAGTAGAAATAGCAAAAGAAATGAGTGTGAAGTTGTGACTGAGTGCCGTTGTCCAAGATAAAATAATAGGTGAGGACTTGCTTCTTACAAATGAGGAATGAAAGTGCTTTCTTCAAATGGAATCTTCTGATGAAGACATTTGTGAGCACTGCTGAAATGACATTAACCTAGTTGGCAAAGCAAGGGCAGGATTTGAGAGAAGTAACACCTATTTTGAAAGAAGTTCTACAATGGGAAAAATGCTAGCAAATGGCATTACGTGCTACTAGGAAATCTCTCCTGAAAGGAAGAGTCCATAAATGTGGCAGTGTGCTTTGTTACCTTATTTGAAGAAATTACCATAGCCAGCTCAGCGTTCAGGAACCACCACTGCCATTGGTGAGCAGCACCAGCGTGAGGCAAGACCCACCACCAGCAAAAAGATCATAGCTCATCAAAGGCTCCGATTGCCCTTAGCAGTTTTTAGCAGCAGAGTATTTTTGAAGTAGGAACTTTTTTAAAGACATAATGTTATTGTAGATTAACAGACTACAGTTTAAACATAGTTTGTATATGTACTGGGAAACAAAACAAATGTGTGATTGACCTTACTGCAATATTCCTTTTATTGCAGTAGTATGGAACTGTGTTAGTTGATACATTGTGTCAACTTGAATGACTCAGCTCCAGCAGTTCTCAGCATGGGGGCCTAGCCCTGCAGGTGGGCAGGGGCCAGGAATTGAGACAGGCAGGCCGCCCTGCCTGACTTCCTGCTGCCCCCTGCCCTGCTTTGGTGGAGAAGCCTCAGTCTTTGGAGGAGCTTGATCTTGGCAGCCGCACCACTTTGGAGGAGCTCGGATTTTCACTGTGGAGCGCCAGTCTTTGCTGCTAGCGCAGAAGGAAGAGAGAGACTTGATGGACGCCGCTGAAGCGGCTGCGCCTCCTCTGCTCTTCATTGTTTTCTGCTGCATGAACTACTGTCACTTGCCTTGGAGCCAGCGGAATATGGACTGAACCCTCCAGTAACTGTGAGCTAAATAAACCTTTCCTTCCTTCATTTTGAGTGTCGGGTATTTGTCCCAGCAAGGAGTAAAAAGTAACTAAGACAGGAACCATAGCTGGACTATTTCTGAGGTATGTCTGAATATCATTAAAATGCTAAAAGGGGCCGGGGAGATGGCTCAGTGGAATAAGCGCTTCCCTGGCAAGCTCAAGGGTCTGAGTTCAATCCCCGGTTCCGGGGGAAAAAAAAAAAAAATCCCGTTCCGCCAAAAAAATAAAATAAATAAAAAATGCTGAAAGAAAAAAAAAAAAATCCACTGTCAACTCAGATTTCTACATCCAATGGAAATATACCTTAGTAATTAAGGGAACTTTGGGTGGATCTCAGGGATCAGAAAGATTACGGAGCACGTCTTGATGTAGAGTTCAGAGAGTCTATTTGGGAGGAGGGACTCCCCAGCTCCTGAGTTGCTCTGTGAGCTGAGGTTCTAGCATAGAGACTTTATTACCTTCCTATCGGCAGCAGTGTTCTATGGCATCCCACAGCATCTGGTCACCCGGATGTCCCAGTGCTTTGCTGGTCTCATCCCACCCTATGTTAACAGTTGCTTTAAATAGAGCTATTTCTTTCAGTGCTTTAATGATATTCAGACATAGCTGTATTTAAAGGCAGAAAGGTCGGTTGTTTCCTTTGTCTCGGTTTTTCTCAAGTTTTCTGTAAGATGAATAAGTTTTGTCCCCCACATCACTTTTCACATTTAGAGCCAGGTAATCCTCTGTTGTTGGGGCTGTGCTGTACATCATAGGGCTTTTGCTGCTATCCACTCGATACCAACATGCATTCTTCCCAATTGTAAAACTCAGAACTACCTTCAAGTATTGCTCAATGTCCTGTGTGAGTCAAAGCTGCCTCTAAAACAGAGCCATAGGTGAGACAGGAGTGGAACCAGTCTTAAAGGTGGATAGTTATTTTACAATGACAATTTATTACTTCCTACGCTATTAATTCTCACAGAGAAAGTAAGAACTCCCTTGGTTCCTAAGAAAGTCATATTTTTCTCCTTCTATAGTATTCTCATTAAATTTTTTGTTCTTTATTATTTTTTAAATACTTAGGAGAAGATTTTTATTTTTTTAATTTTTTTTTTATTTTTATTTTTGGCGGAACTGGGGATTGAACTCAGACCCTTGCGCTTGCCAAGGAAGCGCTTATTCCACTGAGCCATCTCCCCAGCCCCATTTTTTTGTTCTTTAAACATTGTTGAATTATTCAGAAGTAAAAAGCTGGGTGTAAAAATGCATCTCTAGTATTACTTAACTGGAAGGCTGAGCCAGGTGGGTAGCTTGAGCACAGAAGGTCAGCCTGGGCAATGTAGCAAGATGTTATACTTCTTAAAATTTGCTTCTGGGGGACTGGGTGTGGCGGCAAGCGCCTGTAATCCCAGTCCTTGGGAGTCTATAAACAGGCGGGTCACTATGAGTCTGATCTGGTAGTGAGATCCTAAACACCCTGTA